AGAGCCAAATTCCTCATAAACACAAGGACTCCTAAAGTGTCACAGCACAAACGCCTACCACCCTTAACAGTCTCCAGTCTAACCATCCAGCTCCGATTCTCTTCACAGACTAAAAAGGAAATCCAATTTGAGAAAATTGATAAGCTTTCTTTTCCTTGGAGAAAATGGACTGGACAAATTGCACACAAAAACCTAAAATCTCCACCACCGATTGTCGAAAAACAATGGAGCCTCCACCAGCCGTTCCTTTGCCCACAGAATGCTCTCTGAGGACTGCAGGGTTTGGAAGGAGTACAGAGGCCTATTCTCCATCTAAAGCTCATCAAAGTTTTAATCAAAACCTGCTTTTTTGTGTGAAACTAAGCAACTGCTGTTTCACACCCACATGTTGCTAGAGCGCCTGCAATTACCCTCAATGACTCTGTTTAAAATGAAAATGCTTTGCCGCCCGAGGACAGTGTGAGAGGATTGATTAATGCTGTTCCCAAAAGGACAGAAGTGTAGGTACACAGCAAAACCCTAAGAAGCTAGAAACGACTGCTGAGCCGTATTTTACAGGCAATTCAATGCTACCTTCAAGTATTTTGTAAAGAATAGGACTTTTAAGGCAGTTGGATATAGCGAGGGGCATACCATACCATTTTTCCTCTTTCTTCTTGATGACAATCACAGAACTAGAAAACTAAGAGGACTGTGAGAAGTGATGAAGAAAGACCAAATTTGGCCATATGGTTTTTCAGGAGAAGAGGAAACAGCTTTTTTTTTTCCCGACACATTGTTCCAAAGATCTGTAATTAACAAACCAAGCCAGCACATGGCTGGGTTCCGTGGCTTTGTGACTCAGAAGTCACTTTTCTATCCAACGTATTAAATGTCAAGTAAAATATCTCCGATAAGAGAGAAGAAATTCTTCTGGATGCTTGGCTCCTGTATGAGTGCCTCTCCTGTGCAAATAAGCCGTATATTTTGCTGCTGTCTTTTAGGTGGATTGCCAACCTGTAAGAGAAACGTCTACCCAAGGCTGCATACAGAAGCACAAATCATGGAGACCAAATCTTACTCCTCTGTAAAAGCTCCCAAAAAGAACTTACCCATGTAACCATAGTAAATGCATGCCTGTTTAAGAAAGAAAAAAAACAGAAAGAAACACAGAAAACAAAGAGAGGGGAAAGGAAAAGACTTACAGTGATATTTTTATGCATCTGCAGTATGCAGAATTTGGAGACTAAGCTCTGATGGAATGCTTAAATCCTCTGTAACATACCAAAATGTATGGGTTCCAGGGCAGTCCTAATAAAAAAGGGCAGTATTTACCCATCACGTATCATTCGCCCTCATTTCACAATGCTCTAGGATTAGAACCCATGATGTGAAAGAGGATTTAATATTTAGAGCTAGTTCTTGCATGGTTCAGTGAAAGAAGGGGATGAGAAAAGCGGGAAAGAATTGTATGACTTCTCTCTTTTTTTGGGGGGGGTGAGTAAGATCAGCCCTGAGCTAACATCCATGCCAATCCTCTTTTTTTTTTTTTTTTTTTTGCTGAGGAAGACTGGCCCTGAGCTAACATCTGTGCCCATCTTCCTCCACTTTATATGGGATGCCGCCACAGCATGGCTTGACAAGCAGCTGCATCAGTGCACGCCTGGGATCCGAACCCGGGCCGCCAGCAGCAGAGTGCGCTCACTTAACCGCTACGCCATGGGGCCGGCCCCTACTTCTCTTTTTTATAGTAGATTATTTTCTTTAAGAGAAGCGTAAGCTATAATTAAAGTGGCAATATAATTGCTGAATTTTGGTGCCTCTAACACCTGCAAAAGAAGCATGTTGACAAGAAACACTCGGCACCCCAATGATTTCATGCAGGTTTTCATCCACCCAGAAAGCCATCCTCAAAATAGATTGGAATTTTCTCTCCTTCACCAATCTGGTAGGTGGCTACGGCAAAGTAACCAAGAACCTAAATAAATCATGTTTATCATGATTCTCAACAAACAAAATTCAAATAAAATAAGATCCAAGGAGTTGAACACATAACATCCAAACTTTAATTATATCAATTATTTAACCATGCATTCAGCTCATATTTCACCAGGTCTTGATGGGAGGCTAAAAAGGAACAAGATTTGTCCCCAGAGAAATAACAGAATTGAGCTCTGTTCCCAGAAGTGGGAGAATAGATTAGATAACTGGTCTTTCCAGTTTTCAGGAATGTTTTAATTCAGCTGTGAAATAATGGGAAAATGAAACAAATTCAAGATTCCACTATCTAGGAATTTGGGCAAGTTAGACCATACATCCTGAAAATAAGTAAATAAAGAACTAAATAGCTAGGGAAAAGGAAATCCAGGGAAATTTTTCCCTAGGAGGCTAAAAACTTAATATTTTAAAAATAGCAATAAATTCACTCACTTCTTTCTTACATATTTTTAACCAAAGACATTTAGAGTTACATATAATAGGTTGAAATAGTAAGATTCTTAAATTTTTTACATATTGGTGTCTCGGCAGTAAGCGTTTCCCAGGGGTCACTTTGGGAAATGAGATCTTTTCCATCAAGAACAACTGCGGAGACAAAACATTCAATCTGAAATGGATTACTAGGTTGCAACACGTACAAAGCAACTCACAAATCAGAATGCATTTCTGTTGTCATCCCAAACTGGGGAAAGATCGGCACGGAAGTAGGATTGCTATGGGAAGGTTTCCAGGTGATGATCCTTGACCTGAATGTTCAAGGATGGCAAGGGCATGAATCACAGAAAGCAGGATGGGGCCTCAAAGGCAAAAGAACCAGCATAAGCCAAATGGAAATAGGTTATAACAAACTACATTTGGGGAACAGCTGACACTAAAGACTCAGGACAAATTAGTGAATATTAAAGCTACCACTACTGTGTGCTTACGATATGCCAGACTCTACGCAAATATTTCCTTTTGTTTTTTTCCTAACTTAATTTTAATAAAACCTGGCTCTCTTGTCTTTGTCAGCCATCCTCACTCCCCAGTTGATCTCCTACAGGCTCACGGCTTTAGTGCCACTTGCACACTGATGACTCCCACGTCTCTATCTTCAGCCTGGACGTTTCCTTCAGTTCCACACTCATATGTTTGACACTTCCACCTGGATGGCTAAAGGATATCTCAAATTCAACATCTTGAAAACCAAACTCCTGATTTCCATCCATTCCCCCCAAAACAAAAAACTAAACAACAACAACAAAACCACTTCTTTCATCTTCCTTTAAAATATATCCAGAATCGGACCACTCCTCACACCCCCACCTCTACCACCCGGTCTAAGCCACCTCATCTTCAGCCTGAATCACTGCAGCAGCCTCCTAACGGGGGCGGATGTGAACGTCCCCTCCAGTGACCCTCTGAGTCTAGACATTCCAAACTTTCCACTTGCAGGACAGGCTCCAGTTATCAGTACTGTTGTCTGAAGTGGAGACTAAGATTGAAGAGTGATTCTTGGACAGGTGACAACAGAAACAACGGAGGCTGAGAGCGGATGTGAAAGGAAAAGTGCAGGGTGGGGTTGAGGGTATCAAGGAGGGGACATCTGAGGACATCCAGAGGCCAAAAGAATCGGAAATCTTGAGCAATATCAAGTCCGAGGTCCAACACCCCCTCTCGGTTAGCCTTTCTTGACTCCCCAGGGAGAGTTCAAGGCCGTAATTACAGCACTGGTCACATTTCTGGAGGCCTGTGCTGAGGGCCTCCCGCACAGACTTTAAACTCATCTTGTGCCCCCTGCACCTGATGCAGCATCTGGGACCTGGTAAGGCCTTGGCAAAAGAGTGTTGGATGCATAACATGATATCGTGGAGAGTGCATCAGGAGCATGGAGAAGGAAGTGCATTCTTCTGGGGGAGCAAATTAAGACTTTACATAGGAAGTGAGGGTTCAGAGATAGAAAAAAGTATTTGAGTTTACCCAGGAAGATAACCCTGATGGCCTAGACAGGACCAGCAGGGCTCGAAGAGGAAGTAGGGGGAAGGAAAGCAGGGGAGGAAATGGTGGGGTGTGATACTGAGAAGTAAGGTAGAACTGGGAAGCTAAAGAAAGCAGCAGGGTGGAAGGAGAGTTTTTCTCTCTCCCCAAGAGATACAGTAGTGAGAAAGAAGGAGGAGGGATGTTTAAAAGAAAAAAAGAAAAGCCAGGCAACGGAAATAAATTGCCCCAGAGGATGCGGTTAGGGGGGATGGGTGTGAGGACCAGGCAAGCTCACGCCTGCAGTTCTTAATCTCCCCACTCCCAAGTACCAAGTAAATTACTGAGCTCCAGAAGGAGGGTAGGAGGCCAGAGGCTTAACAATCAGAGGTTAAAATTAGATTACTCAGTGAGGGCTGAGCCAAGAAGTTAACGAGGTAGGAAGAGCAACACTGTCGAGGGTTGTAAGACAAACCCAGGTGATTACTTTAGTCCTCGAAGTTTCAATTAACTTCCCATTAAGTTGTGCTGGGGGCTCGACTTCTCACCCTGCGCCCGCCACCCTGCCAACGTCTGCGGTGGAATTCAAGGGAAATTGGGCCGGAGGGTGGATCTTCATCACCGCGACGAGGGTAGTGGAAAAGCAATTCACAGTGGATACCCACCCAGCTTTGTCCAGGCCTCGAGGAGAAAACTGGGAGAAGCACAGAATAGAAACACAACCACAGCTCCTTTCTTTTCTTTTCCCTGCCCATCACTCATACGCTCCCCTCACTAAAATGTAAGCCCCGTGAGAGCAGGGCTTTGTCCTCCACTGCTGGATATGCCCGCTTAGCAGGGGGCCTGGCACACAGTGAACGCTCGGCCTATGCTGGTTAATATTGAATGAGCTCTGCTCAGTCCCGCTTCATCATATCTGGGCATTGAAGGATGCGACCAGTGGAGCCGCCTAAGACAGCACAGGGGTAAGAGAAGCGGTCGACTTTTCTGAAGGTCCCAGCGGGGCGGCCGCGGTCGGGGAGGAGGATTCGGGTCTAAGGCCCAAGACTGCACGGTTTGCAACTGACCTTCCGTCGGGGACGCCCGCGCGGGGCGCAGCAGCCCGGCTCCGGCGTCCCGCTCCCACCGCCCCCCGGCGGCGCTCGGCGCCC